GCGATCATTTTGTGTACCACATTATGTTAAATAAATATTATATTTTATTCATATTTTGCTCCTAAATATTACATGTTTACATGTTTGTGTCACTGTGACTCTTGAGCACAGTTAATGAATGTTTTGTCACTAATTGCACATCTCTAGTGCTACACAGTGTCGTATGTGCTGTATCCATAATGCACACTTCCAATCCACTTTAATCTGCTATGAAAATTCATGAGTTAATGAGTGAATATTAGTATTAGCATACTGTTCAGATTTCATGTCTTCACAGTATGACATTTGTCAATTTTGACCTGGGCCAGAAATCCTCTCTCATAATAAGTGTTTGCACCATACTGAGCTACAGATATATTTAGAATGTACAAATAGCCTATCTGACATTAATAAAAGGTTGATTACCCTGTTTCAGAGAGCAGGGAGGCGACAGTTAGATATGATATGACACTGTCAAAATCCCCCTGCTACTGTTTAAGATTGTTTAAAAATGCAGTTTACTTTACTGCTTGTACAGTTCATCAAAACAGTTTGTACTTTTGTCATTTAGAACTCTTGTGCTCTCGCTTTCCTAAATACTGTCTACATTTTCTATGTTTTCAATCAAATTACGTCAAACTATTTTCAAATATGTATGAGAAAGCAAATATAGTAACACACAGTCAGCAGTAGCAGTGAAACTGCCCTTCAATTGAAAGCAAATATGAACATGTGTTCTCAGAAAAGGTTTAAAAGTAACAAACCTGCTGCTGTAGCTCATCAACTGAAAGGATCAGATGTTCTTCTGCATATTTTGGTTGTAACGAGTGGTTGTTTGAGTTACTGTTGATTTTGGCTCAAACCCGTCTGCCCATTCTCCTCTGATCTGAAAAGGCCTGACCTCAAGCAGCATGAATATCATCACTGAACTCTGTACAGGTCAGTCTGTGGGAGTCTCCGGGCCTTTTAACCACTGGTTCACAAAGCAAATGAAAATATTTACAGTTATACACAAAACAGAATATTTAATGATACAAGATCTTGACAATCCAGTATTATGTCTTTCTTTCAGTGCATTGATGTGCTGAGTTTTTGTACAGAGTTTCTTCCTCTTGTGTCACTGTGGCTCTCGAGCACAATAATAAACAGCTGAATCCTCAGTTGTCAAGCTGTTCATCTGCAGATACACCTGCTTTCTGCTGTTGTCTCTGGAGATGGTAAAGCGGCCTCTGACTGACTCAGTGTAGTAGCTGCCACTACTGTCATCCCAGATGAAGGCGATCCATTCCAGTCCTTTTCCAGCAGCCTGTCTGATCCAAGCAGCATGAATATGACTGCTGAACCCTGAGTATGTACAGGTCAGTCTGTGTGATTCTCCAGTCCTTTTAACCACTGGTTCAGACTCACTCAGTGTTTGACCATCAGTACCTACAGAAATGTTAACAGCTCATTAGTCCAGTCATATTTCTTCATATATTTATTTGTATACCAGAAATATATGTCCTTACCAGTCAAGAAACAGAACAGAATCAGGAAAACAACTAAATAAACAGTTCTCATCATTCTAAACATCAGTCGTCTTTGTCCAGTCTGTTGTGTGTATATTAGGTTGAGTCCCTGAGTCTTACTCTCAAGCACATATAAAGTTGCTGAAGACATCAGATTTGCATTGACTCCTCCTCCTCAGCAAAATATATAAGTATATATATATATATATATATTACATCAAAAGAGAATTTGATGTAAACTCCAGTCCTTTCCTGCAAACTGTCTTAAGTATAAAAAAAAATTACTACAAAAGGTAATGTGGTCTGAAAGCTGATTAAAGCTGATTCTGACACATATGTATTATGTAACTATAACACTGGGACTATGTGGC